TCTCTACCTCTGCCAAACCACATACGCAGCAAAAGTTCTTTCTTTCCCTGTGGATTTATAATCTTGAAACCAACCAAATGCAAAGCATCACCCCCTGCATCAAATCCCATCCAAAAAGAGATTAATGAGCAATCATGGACGTTTACAGTAGCTTGAAGAAAAAGAACTGTGTTGGATAAAGGCTGTGTATCATAGGGAAAATGAGCTTTAAATCCAAACTGCTGTAAGCCAACTCCTTCTTGGCAATGGGAGAGAGACCCCAGGGTAGGGAATTAGTTGTCCTGTTCCTTCACCTCCCTGCTCTCCCAGTCCCACAGCAGAAAGCCAATCTTCCCAAATCCTCTCAGAGCTAATGCAGTCCTTCACTGGAAAGGCTCAGGAGCGAGACTGTGCTGAGTCCTCGTGACAGACCCAATCGGAGTCACTATTTCCAAGATATGCTTTTGATTTTCCCGTCATTCCTTAGCACATTCCCTGGAGCGCAGCAGGCAGGATTCGGGATGTGAATCCCTGGCACGAACCAGGGGGTGTTTCATGCGGGGGGGCTCATCCGTGCAGCTGGCACAGTGGCTTTTCTTTGCGCTCGGAGGTGGTGCACTGTAAACTCTTCCGCTCTGCATGCTCCTGGAGCCCTGACACAGGCTGGCATTTTGCTTCCAGCACATACGAGTGTGAATCATGACTCCAAGGAAAACCAACACAGCAGCAAAGGCGCCTGGCGCTTGTAATGTGAAACACACTGTCTCTCTGCAGGCTTACCTGGCATCGCCTCGCTGACCGTGTCACTGCGGGCAGCAGCGAGCTCCTGCCACCTCAGCAGCTCCCATCTCCTCACTGCACCTCCCAGGGCAGGACGCTGGGTTTAACAAACCCTGCAGGGAGGAGGAGCCTGGGCAGGGAAGGCACTCCGTTCCCCCCAGGCCATCGTTTGGCTAGGACACCAAATCGACACACAAGGCTGCACTGACCTCTGGTCTCTGGTTCAGACAGACAAGGAAGTTATTTATCACAGGCCAAGTGAACGGGCTGGGACACTCCTGCACAAGTGCTGGTTTGCAAACAGGGAGTTTAATGAAGGAATTACAGAGCTGTTCCCGGGCACTGGAGAAAGCATGGTCTCAAAGCTGGAGCAGAAGGGTTAAGCTCACCTTTTCATCTCAGCTGAAGTGTGTGCAGGGAATGGGGGCAAACAGGAGGCATGCAGAGCACCTCGTTTGGCAGGGAGGGGATTCAACGATGATGGAGCACCAATTTCACATGCATGTGCACACACTCCAATCTTACCAACCCCTAAACCTCTTCAGGATCTCTAACAGGTAAAACACTAAAGCACCCTGAAAGCAGAAGCTGTTTTGGCACAAAAGCTGTGTGCCCTGACCCTTGTCATCTCCCGCAGCTGGTGCTACCCTCTTGGAAACCCAGCCTGTATCCAAAGCCACATCACTCCTGTGGCTCTGAAAGGTCAGGGAACTAACAGAAGGGTGACTGGTAAGGAGGGCACAGCAAGAAACTGGCTCCACACAGGAGGAAGAGCAGGGAACCCTTCTGTCCATGTGCTATGCGGGAGAATTGATCTGTTTACAGAAAATACCTGCAGCTTGCCTGAAAACATCTCCTTCATGGAAAAGTTTCATTTGAGAGAGCATTAAGTTCAGACACATTAGAAGGGGAAGAGCATAAGTAATGTGCTTTTTCACCTTTAGCTAAAGGTCATGGAGCATTCAAACAATTGCTCTGTTTCCAAGCTGAACATGACAGAGGCCAACTAAGCACCCGTCAGCACAGCTAATGAATGTGGAAAACAAAAGCATTTCCCCTGCACTTTGATCAAGAAACACTCAGTGCTCTGAAGAAGAAACTGATGATTATTGGCGATTTTAGTTTTAGGTAATGAAAGTCAAATCAAGCAGAACCTTTCCACCGAGATTCCTTCTTCCCTTTAAAAACACAAAAATCCACTATTTTCACTGGCTGTTTCTTGGTAAAATGGAATTATACTGAAGGCCATTATAAAATATCACACCATTTCCACATCCCTGGGACCAGATGCATCTCAGTGAGGAGGAGGAAGAGGATGACAACATCCCCACACAGCTGAGGACCAACCTACCCTGTGGAAGAGCCAGTTCGCTGCATCACCCATCAGAGCTCACTCTGGATCAGAGCCACGGATCAGCCCTGCCCAAAGCTGACACCTAAGAGTGAAACCAGGCAACAAACACCCTCACTTGACCACTCCTGGCTCTTCTCTGGCAGCTCCAAACCCAGCAGAAACACCTGGAATGCTGCTGGGAGATGGTGCCCATATGCACAAAGCACATTCCTGCTTATTCATTTGAAATGCATCTCTTCCCCCGTTTTGTTGGATATTCCCCTGGGGTTTATGCAATGGGGAAAGAAAAGCACCCAAGCCTGCTCCCCCCACCTCCTGCCCCTCCACAGCATCCCCTCTCACTTGCCTCATCTGTGAAATCAAACAGCTGCAATCCTTTAAATCACTTCTCATGAAGTGTCTCCGAGCCTAAAATAACGTCACGGCTCATTTCTGGGCTCGGCATTCCTGCCGCGCCGATCCCTGGGCGCGACCGCCACACTTGGAATGGGATCATGTATGTATATGAGAACAGCATTCGCAGCCCTGCTGCGCTCAGCCCCAGGAGCTGACCCAGGGCGTTCCCACCGCTGGGATAAGGATCCCCAGGCAGACGAATTCCCAGCTCTCAGGAAAGGATGTCTTGGAATGCGGCAAACCAGAACCAGGATCTACTCAGATGCAAGACACGCTGGTGTCAGGTTGGTTTTGGCCTGTCTTGCTTTCTTCCAAACAAGCTCTCACTGTGCAAACACATCCCATGACAAAACTGACCTGGCCAAGACACGCAAGCAAATACCACTGCCTTTTAATATTAAACAGCGCAGCAACTTCAAAGCAACTGGGCTCTCCTCTCCCAAGCAATCCCACCAGAGATCAGCTCCAGCCCCAGAGCCATGGCCGGGTTCCAGCCCATGGCGCTGCCAAGCAAGAGCCACGTGTTTGCCAACAGCTGAGAGCAGCGGGGCAGATCATGCAGGGACACGCTCCATGGAACGCTCTGCCTGCCCTCCCCAGCAGAGGCAAGGGGAGGTTCATGTGGGGCTGGCACACTTGTGACAAGAGGAGCCTTTCAGCTTCCCATCCAGACAGATCCCAGCTCAGCCCCCTCCTGCATCCAGACACCTCTAAGGTGTCACAAGGCTTCGGAAGATTACATGTGGCTGCAAAAATAGCTTCTAGAAGCAAACACCAGCAGCTTCTTCCAACATGGATACGGTAGGATAAAACCAGTGTGCACTTTAGTCAGAGAGCAGGGCAGGCTGGAGAAACCCTGAGCTCCATCTGACCTGCAAACAACTGCCCCGCTTGGTTCATCCTGCTCTGACACTAAGGGGAAAGCAAGTGGGGTTTGCAGAAGACAAGGACTCAGCACCCCAAGGCCAGGAGCCTTTCACTCTCTTCTAAATTCAGTCTTCACTTTGGGCACTGAGGTTTCTTGGGATCGTTTTTAAACCAAGAGCTGCAGATCCCCCTCACCTGGGCACATCCTCCTCCTGCTCCCATAAAAAGAGAACTTGGATTTTCTTTCTGAGACAAATGCTCTCGTTCTGTCCCACCTCCCAAACAAACACGCTCGCTCTGATGGAAGCAAAGCTCCCATAAATGGAACCAGGTCAGCATGTCTCATAGCCTGGATGAAAAGCTTCTTTGTGCAGAAGCACGCAGGCCCTGAGCGATGTGGATGAGCCAGCTGAGGCAGCCAAAAGCTTGTCCTGCGCCCTCCTTAACACTTCTGTTTCAAAGCCTTTCCCAGCTCCAGCTCTGCTCCCTGTGCCGCTCTGCTGAAGCCTGAAGAGGGCAGATGAGGGAATTCCACCCCTCTGCAGTCACTCCATGGGTTTCCAGCTTTCAAGTCAAACCCTAACATCATCACAGCAGGAATTCTACCATTCAGAAGCCATCACTGTCAGAAACACAACCCCGAGACAAGGTCTCCTCACTAACTTGTAGTACAAGCCCCTTCCTTGCTGTGGCCACCTCACTATAACCCACCAAGAAGCAGCTCCAAAGAGCAGCCTAGCCAGTGTGTGCCACACTCCACACCTAATAAGATTCATTTAAGCAGCTTGAGCTGACTAAAGCTCTCCACTAAGGAGAGGGGTTTTTCTGTTAAGGGCTTAAACCTAAAACATTCAACCATCCAGGATGAGCAAGCACAGGTGTGAGTGACACAGCACGTAGACGAGAGGCTCGATCTGGGTGAATTAACCTGGGCAAGCTTCAGTGGATTCAACAAAACACAGGCAATAAATCACCATCAGCTTATGCATTGATCCAAGAGGAGACGAGAGGTCAAGGGTAAGAGGAGGGAAAAAAGTGGGGGAGGATAAAATGGAAGAACAGCAGCTCAGTTTTCTTCTTGCTACCACCAGCCAGGAATGCCACACAGAGAAGGACAGGTCTCCTGATGGAAGAGCAGGTTCACCCCCCACAATCTGTATGGAAGTGAGGAGAGCTCCCCCATGGGTGTGAGGAGCAAGGACCAGGCTTGTGGTAAGGCCACACACAGGAGAGGATGCTCATTCCCTTGTGATTCAAGGCCATGCCAAAGAGGGCTGGAGGCCAAGTGCTCCTGCTCCATGCAGATTACACCTTCCCCTTTCCCCCCAGAGCTGTTTGCTGCATCCAACCAAGGGTGCTCCTGCCAGGAAGACAAAATGGACCTGGGTGCTCAGAAGTGATGAGCCAGAGAACCATGAGCACCACCAGGAAGAGGCTGGAAAGGGCGAGAAAATATGAAAGCACCATATGGAGAAACAAAAGAGGATGCCACAAGAGAGGAATGATGAAATCCCGTACCACAGGCACGGAAACAGCCTGATTTCTGCATAACAGCCCCAATGACAGTGACGTGCCACGCAGCCCCTGCCCCACGAGGCCAGGGAAGGAAAGCCTCTTGCCTTACCGCATGTGGTCGAGCGATCTGAACCGGGTAGGACATGGCGTGCGGCGCGTAGCGCGGCTCGGCGGCGCGCCAGCTCTGCGTCACGGGCTGCGTGGATCCAGACATCTCGGAAGGGCTGCTTCCAAATCACCGGCAAAGGATTAGGAGAGGCGAGAGCTCCTCGGCATCATGTGTGTGCTGTCCACGTCACACAACTGGAAGCAAAGAGGAAAGCAGCAGGTTAATATTCAGTCAACCACGGTCCCATGAGACAACCGAGCATCAAGGCTTGGGTGACCACCAAAACCTGAGTGCCCTCAACTCTCCAGCAGTCCCACGTTCCGCTTGGCAAATATCACTGACAAGTTTCTGTTGTGGATTACTCCCATCACAGGGAAGTCCAAGCATAAGATTATCCCAAAACCATCCCACCTGACTGCCCTGGAAAGCCTTCCCCAGCACCTGCAAACTGCCTGTAATTCATTTGGGCCCTGTTGATCTATGTCTCCATGTCTCTTCAAGACAGCCATTTTTCTGGGGGTGACTTAGTTCCCAAAACCACAAGCTAGGGTCTTGGCACTTCAACACAAGCTCCAAAGGCGCACGATCCCTCCTCAGCCCATCCCCTTCCCCATCCACACTCTCGCACACAGAATCCCAGAGTGGTTTGTGTTGGAAAGGACCTTAAAGCTCATCCAGTTCCAAGCCCTGCCGTGGGCAGGGACATCGTCCACTAGAGCAGGTTGCTGCAAGCCCCATCCAGCCTGGCCTGGGAGGTTTGGGGCAGCCTCTAAATCTTTCACCAGCACACCAGGAGCAGCAGAGGAAGCTTCCAGTGCCACCTCTCCCCACACTCTCATGGTCCCTTGCACAGAGAACCAACGCAATTTCAACTGAAGGAGCAGTTGGTGTGGACAAAACGCAAGCAGAGGTGGGAAAGGGGAAAAAAAAGAAGCATAAGCAAAAAAAGAGGAAGTTTTTCTTTTTCTACTTTTTTTTTGCTCCTCCTGTGAGACCACAGATCAGCCCGTGCTGATAAAGCACTTGCTATCTGCTGCAGGCAGGCACAGGGCTGCCTCGCTCAGCATCCACGCTCTGCTCCCCAGCCAAGCATCACATCAAACCAAGGCAACGGTCCCCGCAGGCTGGGCACGACAGGCAGAGCTGCAACAGCAGGATGGGAACCGCCTGAAGACCTTACAAAGAGGACAAGCTCTACAAAAACAACACTTTCCAGCAAACACTCCTTTAGACCTAAGGAGGATGGATGTGCAGAGACGCCTCCATGCTCCTTCTGAGTGAGGGCCAACCCAGCCTCTTTGGACAAAGGTGTTTTGCCAGGTTCCAGATGGGAAAACACAGAGCTGGGTTTGGTTCTCAATGCAGGAAGAAGGGGGACAACCACATTTCCCCAGCCCTGCAGCCACACATCATCACCAAGCCCCAGGACACCTCAGCTGCCACCCCGATCCCAGGAGCAGCCAGACCTCATCCCACACAGTGAAAGTGTCCCCATCCGGAACTCAGCACGCTCGGTGAATCCACCCCTGGGTAGGAAAGCCCCAGCACACACAGGGGAATTCAGAGGCACCCAGAAGGCAGCCAGGGTGTATTTACACCTCCAGTGTGACTGCCCCACTTCCCCTCGCGCTTCCGACTGGATGGGATTTTAATGGCTGATTCCCACCCAGAGCTTGGGGCTGTGCAAGGAACAACGAACGTATGGTTCAACATCCACTCTGCTCACCCGCAGGGACACACCACCACCCTCCTCCCAGCTCTCCTGCAGCCCATGTGTGCTCCTGCAGGGGCAAACCCTCCCTGCAGCAGCCAAGGGTGCGAACACGATGCTCTCAAAAGCTTGCTGGGATCTGCAGAAGTTCAAGGTACTTTCCTAATAACAGATTCAAACTTGGACATCTTGGCTTGAGGCCACCCAAGAGTTAATTAGCACATGTAGAGATCTATCTATCTATCTATATGTGTGTATATATGTGTGTATATATATATATACACACATATGCCACATGTATATACACACACTCCATGTTGGAGGTCCTAGAGTCCTTGACAGCTTTCAGCAAACCAACTGCTTCTCTGGAGGCTGAGCACATGGATGAGACCATGCCGTGGTAGGTGTCTACAGTGCAAGTAATGGGATGGTTTTTCTCTATTTAAACTCCTCAGATCAGCAGTTCAGCTTTACACCTCAGCACTCAGTGCAAAGCCACACGGTTTCAAGCTCTAAAGCAGTTTAAAAGCTTTTATGCTTCTTTCTTCGCAGCAAGAAAAAGTTCACTCTCTGGTAGAAGGATATACACACACGGGGTGAAATCAGAGGGGACAACAAAACCCTCCTGTACCAGACCATGCCGTGCTGGTGGTGTGCACTAACCACACACTAGCAGGACAAAGCAAGGTTTCTTCCTTACCAAGGGCAACAAACTACCTTTGCCTCAACAAGAAAGCCAAGAGTAAAAACTCATGTGCTTGCAAACAGGCAAAGCACTGCCCAAGCATCCCCACACCTGCAAACCACCACCAGCAAGATCTCGATGCAAGTCTCAGGCCCTGGATGCTCTCCACTGCAGCTGGACTGGGGCTGGAGCCAAATGAGGTCACCGAAGCACTGGGGCACTCCCATGGGGAGCAGGACGGTCAATGCACAGCCAGCAGCAGGGCTGTGGGTGCTCCCACTGGGGAGCAACCTGGGAGCATAACATCTTGCTGGGGATGTACTGGTGCTGCTTGGCCATCTATCCCCAGCAAAACAACCCAGGGTGCCTCCTCATCCACAGCCCTTTATTAATTACTCTTAAGGGAGGAACACAAACAATAGGAGCAGATTAATGGAAATCAAAGAGTGCAGCCAGGCTCTTTAAATCTCTAGGATCGAACTGTTTGGTTCCTACTTTTCCTCAACTGATTTTGATGAGGAACAGACATTTTCTCACAGGAAAAGTATTTCCCACCCCCCCCCAGTTGGAGTCTCCATCAGAGACTGTTTTATCCGCAGACCTGTGTTAGCCATTACAGCACTAGGTATGAGCAGATTTACAGTCTCTGATTAGGAACAGGAGAAAGCTGGAGGTTACCAGCAAACCCAGCACCAGGGCTACAACATGAAGAAGCCAGAGCCCAAAAGGCTCCTGCACCCATTTATTTCCACCTATATGGGAGACTCCCAGGATCCTGCCCTGCTGCCAGAGCCTTCAAAACCTCCACCCTGCTCCACAGAGCAAAGCACCACCTCCCTACTCCTCTGTTTCTCCTCTTCATGTGCCATTTACTGTCTAAAATCATTTCCCCATCACCTCTTCTCCCTAATTTACACCATGAAAGCACTCTACAAGCCATGGCAAGTTGCTGCAGGCTCGCTTGCACACAGAGGAGCTCTGCCTGGTCTCCTGGCTGCCCTAGTGTCTGACAAGCATACATCAACCTGGGCACAGCCTGTGCTAATGGGGGCAAGCAGAGTTGTGTCCACCCTGAATGATAGGCACAGATAAGCTCATGATACCCCACGGTCATCTACAAGGTTACAGCCAACACCAGGTAGACACAGGGCTGTACACCTCTGTGGGAGTCCTTTAGTACACATCCTGACCACAGCTAAAGCAATGCATTGATACAGTCAGGACCATGCAAAACCCCTACGTGTCTCAAGTAAGGCTTTGCAATTAAGTTGAGTGGCAAAAACACCAATTATCATCATTCAACACACTTGTTGCTCTTCAGAGTGAGAGCCAACCCTCCCAATCAGCGCCATGCTCCTCAGGGAGAGCAGGATTCCCAGGGGAGGATTTATATCCACGATATAAATACAGGCCATTAGCCATAATTACCCCACAGCTTAGTTCATCTGTCTGAAAGGTGACAAGAAGAAGACACTCCCAGCTCACAGATAATACCAGCTCATCCGTCCTCAGAAGAGATTTACAGACGCCAGTGAACACACACTGCTCAAGTGCCAAACAAACTGGTTTTAAAGCAAAGACACACTGAAATAAGATGAACGGAACAGCTTGTTTAGATCCAGAGTAATGTTACTCAACCTGTGGTCTATACCATGGAAGATGTTAGGAGGTAACCCACAAAATGACTGCAGAAGACATCACTGAAAAGCAATAACTAGCACAACTAAGGCAAATAAGCAAAACGCTGCCAGCACTCACCAGGGCACATTTAATTGAAGAGTATTGAAAATAAATCTCACGTTTAATTACTTTAAATGATGCAAGGGGAAAGACACACTAAGTCATCTTTACCTCAATGTTAAGTACACGACAAGTTTCCTCCTCAAAGCGGTGCATATCCTCCAGTCACCTTGTGTAGTTTGAAATAAAAGTGAAGGAGACCTGCATTTATAATGCTTAATTAATACCAAACTATAACCTCCAAGGGACCAACCACCCCATGGTGCTTCCAGTCACACACTTGTGTGCAGCACAGCAGAAGAGCGTGTTGCCTGTCAGCAGCCGACCCACGGCCAGTTACGGCACTGACATTGCCAAACAGCTCTAGATCAAAACCAGGCCTGAACAGCGCTTATGAGGTTTACCCACACTTGCTTTAAAGGACCAGTGGAAGCCAAAATAATTAAGATATGATGAAAATGGGTAAAGAGACATTCCCAAGAAAGGCACCACAACCTAACAGTAAAGGATTTGTCTAATCAATATGTGCGTGAAATTTTCTTCCAAGACAGTTGACACTACACACAAATATCTGTATGTACTGTATCTATTAAATCCTTTCAATAGGAAAGTAGGCTGTCTGCCATAAATTTAGGGCTCTATTCAGCACGACAAAGACGACCATGTCAGTGTCTGCAGCCTGGGAACCCACAGTAGCGTTCAATCACAGCGGGGCACAGAGGTTTTAAATTAAAATAGCAGCACAGGGTCAACAAGAAGGATCAGGCACATCCTGAGCCCTGTGACATGGAGGAGAGGTTACTTCAGCCCCAGGGCTCAAGGCTTGTACCTGTGTGTGATCTTAATGCATGTTTCTTGCTTCGGAAGTGTATGAAAGCAAAGCTGGATGGCAGCGCTCTACACACGATGGTCAGACCCTCTGGTTCCTCAGGTGCACCTCAAACAGCAGAACCCAAAGCAGCTCTTGCCCTGTTCCCCAGCTCACCCGTTGGCAGCACCTCTCCAGCTCTCCTCCCTCTTCTCCTTTGTCCCGATGACTTCTGGACTGGATTAATCTC